AAAACAGTAACAGTAGTAATAGTTAAAATAATAACTTGTGTCATTTGTACTAACCTCAACTAAAATAGAGGGTTGTGGCAGCTGATCTGGTTTCATTTCGGAACAGGAATCTCGAGAAATCTCTCCAGTGCTAGTGGATATCTCATCCTTCTCAATGGCAATTTTCTCTCGTGGATCTTCTTTTTTATCAACGGGAGGCATTTTGGATTCATGTACCAGCTCTTGCAAGATTGCCCTAACAACATAAAAAGAGCCACCAACATCTTTCTTCGCTTCCGAAGCAGTTGGGAACTTCCCTGCATTCATTTCCCTGTACCTGTTTGCCAGTGCCCGCAAAATCTCTCAATATTTTGAGATGTAATTTATTTTTATATTTGAGTTCTATCATATCAACAACGTTTATGATATCAAATCGAAAAGGAAGGAAAATTTATCGATCATTTTTATATTTGAGTTCTATCATATCAACAACATTTCTGATATCAAATCAAAACAGGAAAGAAAATTTATCAATAAATTTACTCAGTAGTTCATCGCACTTGGAAGAAGACTTGAAATTCAAGATATCAAATGATTCAATGAAAAATATAAAGCATATTTACTTCTTAACAAAGTTTTCCACCATAAATTTGCGTTCATCCTTTGGGATCCTTCTCCGCAAATTTTTGGTTTCCACTCTCTCAGATGAAGCAAAAGTGGCATATGACCTTGCAAACCACTGTATACTTGATCCATGCTCAAGATTTGACGTCTCAGTTGTCACTGCAATGAATTATGAACCTCATCATATGTCAGTTATCTGAGATGTGGAGGCCTAAACAGTAAATACCTTCGAACAGTGAAACTATATGAACTTTACCAATTATGAAATTAAGTTTGATAACAATCAAAAGAAAAACGATACCGAACTTTATATGTGAATAAAATTGTAACACCTACAATAAGACTGGTAAGAAATGAAGCTACAAGACAAAACCGAGATACGTTTGGGATACCAAATCAATTGCATCAATTACATAAAAGCCAGCTTAGATTTCTTTATACTTTACAAGTTCTTAGTTTATTTAATCATATTGTGAGAGAGACCACAAAGGAAACTGACATAGTAATTATACATGGATCTAGAAGATCACCCGAAGTCTTGAACACTTGACTCTGTTGAAACCGACGGGACAATGCGATATTAGCAGGCTGAGAATATGTTCGAATGAGTCTCATCTTACCTAAGATGGTAAAATATAAAATTAATAAAATGAATTGACGAAACAACTAAACACCTGACTCTGTTGAAACTGGCGAGATAATTCAATATTATCATGTTGAGAAAAAGCTACCCTGAATTCACCAAAACCAGAAGTTAAATTCAAGTGCAATGTGCATGAAACATTAATATAGATAATGAAATGCCACAACAAGATAATCCAATAGTTTGCAACACTTTAACTCAGAATAGTTCAACAAACTTACATTAAATCAAGCATTGGTCAATTTACAGAACTTAGCATCATATCACTGCTGTGACAGGCTCCATGAGCCTACTTGTTTAAGTTAGCCTCCACACCGGGAGAAAAAATAAACAAACAATCCATTAAGAGGCTAAACCAGGATGATATACATATTACTCAAACTCAGAAGATATCAACATGGTTTAGGAATGGCAATAGCAGCAAACCCATTAACTTTATAATAATTATATAAAAATCTCAAAATTCAAAACCTGAAAAGGGTGGCTTAACACGAGAAAATGTCATTGTTAAAACCCCAGAAGGGAACCAGATAACTTACAAAACCAACAAAAATTAACACAAAGGCAAGGATTACAAACAGCAGACCAACTCTTCCGAACAAATGAGAGCTTGACTATCGTAGATAAATTAAATTGAAACACATATGCGTCACAGATCACCAAATCAAGATAAAAAACGATGCGCGTTGATAAAATTTCAGCTCATTTTCACGGAAAAACAGGCTTGAATATGGAAAATAGAGCAGTAACCTAAATGGGAATAAAGGAAGAAATATATTCACCAATCGAAGGCTATCACATTCACTCTCACCGTTGCTGATGATGCTGACGCGGTCACCGTCGCCGGCCGTCCAAGCGCCGACGGCCTTTAGGGTTTAATTTAGGAATTTGCTTTGGGTTTTCGCGGACAACATAGGACAAAAATGGGCGGGTTTGTTACTTCAAAAGCAATTTTTAGATATGGATGGAATGTGGGGTTTAATTTTTATTTTATTTATTTATTTATTTATATGGTGGACGATCGAAATTATATATTTGGATATATGTTACGATTTTTTTTTATTATTTTATTTTTTTTAAATATGGTGGACGATCGAAATTATATATTTGGATATATGTTACGAATTTCAGGTTTACTAAAGTCGTTTTAGCATGTACAGCTTTAGAAAATTATAAAATCGTTCAATATAACTAGCAACAGTTTGAAAGTTGAATTTTAATCAAGCAAATTTAAGATGCAACATAAAAAGAAAACTCAATTTCATATAATACATTATCCTAAATAGGGGTGAACAAAATCGAGCCGAAACCGAAAAACCGACCGAACCGATGCATTCAGTGCGGTTCGATTCGGTTCAGTTTTTTTGAAGATTTCGGTTTCGGTGCGGTTTGAATTTTGAAAAACTGCAAAAGTTTCGGGCGGTTCGATTTTGTGTCCAAAAAAGGTGCGGTTTTAACCGAACCGCACCGAATATCATATAATGTCATTTTTTTTTTCCTTGCACTGTGAATGAGCACGCTTTTCATTTAATTGAGTAACTGAGCAGTGAGCACGCTTTTCATTTCATTTGTAGAAATTACAATTAACAACATTTGTTAGATAATACAAAAATCAGTTGTAGATAATACATAATAATGAATAAAAATAAAATAAATATTTAAGTTGAATTGGGGGTAAAAATAAGTTGAATTGTAAGCTGGATTGTATAAGCATGAGAGAGGAATGATTTTTAACTAGTAAATATCTTGTGCACATGCACATATGTACATAAAATATAATAAGTAATATTTTAGAATTTAATATTAAAATTTTAGATAATGAACATATTACATTTTTTAAATTTAATCATTAGAAAAAATAAATTAATGATTGTTTATTATTATGAACAATTGTTAATTATCATTAGATAATAACAGTTTCACTATTATTATTATTATTATTATTATTACAAAAACAATTGTTTATAAGATTCTAAAGTTGTTTGACTATGCTATTAAACCAATTTACTAATTGTTTTTAAAGATATTTTTTCATGAGATACAAAAGAAAAAGATAATATTGATGCTAAAATAAATAACTTGAAATAATTGTTTATAATTATGCAAGTTATATTTATTGTGAATTATTATTAGTTGGTATTAGCGTTAATTATTATATAATATAATATAAAAATATATGATCACACTCAATAGGATATATTAATGTGAGATGTAAAAAACATTAATGATAAATTTTGTAACCAAAAATGGAGGGAAAATTTTAGAGGTTTTATTAAATAGATTTTCTTAAATGCTATTAGCTAGTAATTATAAAGAGAGTTTCTTAAATGCTATTAAATAGATTATTAAGTTGAGTTGGGAATAAAGAGAGTCTTAAAAGAAAGAACCCGGCAAAGTTTATCTACCACATATGTAGTTGTTAGAGACTCAAAATTCATGGTAGAAACTTGCAAATTTATGGAGGAAATTGTAAATTTGGTCCTGTTAGATTGGGACAGTCGCAATTTTAGTCCCAAGAGGTGCAATTTAAGTCTTTAACTAATTTTTGTTGCGCAAATAGTCCCAAATCTAACTGACCGTTAAGTCAACCGTCTGTCATTAGTTTGAAAAGAGAGAAAATTGCAAATATAATCCCATAAGATTAGTTTTGTTGCAAATTTAGTCCCAAATATTGAAATAATAGTTTTCTTACTAATTTTTGTTGTAATTTTTATTCTGTGAGTATATAACAATATTTGATAGTAAAAATTTAGTTTTGAGACAAAAAAAATTACTATACAATGTTTTATATATTTAAAATTATTTTTTATTAAATAATAAATATATTTAAAAAATAATTATTATTTAAGTTTATTGAAATATAAAATTCTAGAGGTTAATCAAATTTATAAATAAAAATAAAATAAAAGTAATACCAACTACTATTGGTTTGAAAGCTCGGCCAAACTTGTTGTTGAATCGAGAATCGATCGGTTTGATTCCTTTAAATGGATTGGTTTCCAATGAACCGATTAGAATTAGTTGAATGGACTGGTCAATAATATATATTTTTTAAATAAGTTAATAAATATTTATAATTTTTTATATAACAAAAATATAAGTTTAAATATATTTGATATATATAAATTCAAATATATTTGAATTTATATTATTATGTTTTCTGTATTTAAAATATTTTAATTAAATAATAAATATATTTACAAAATAATTATTTAATATTATTATAATTATATTGGTTGATAAAAAAATAAAAATATAATTTTAGAGGTTAATAAAAATTTAAAACATAAAATAAAAATAAAAATAAAATAAAAATAAAATCAACTACTATTATTTTTAAAATAATATCAACTACTATTATTTTTAATTTTTAGAATCGGTCAAATGGTTGGATTCATTTGAACGAACTGGTTTCCAATGAACCAGTTAGAATTGGTTGATCGGACTGGTCAATTGTATATATATATATATATATATTTTCTTGAATTCATATTTGATATATAACAAAAATATTATTTGAATAATTTTTTAAATTCATATTTATATATTTTTTTAATATAACACAAATATAAACTTAAATTCATATTTGATATATAACAAATATATTTTTTATTAACATATTTGATATATAACAAAAATATTTATATATTTTTTAATATAAAAAATATAAACTTAAATATATTTGATATATATTAATACAAATAAATTTAAATTTATATTATTATTAATATATTAAAAATTTTAATTGCAATTCAATGTTTTCTATATTTCAAATATTTTTATTTAAATAATAAATATATTTAGAAAATCATCATTTAATTTTATTATGATTATAGTGGTTGATTAAAAATAAAAATATAACTCTAGAGGTGAATAAGGTTATAAAAAACAAAAATAAAAATGAAAAGTCATTTTATATATATCAAATATTAGAAAATTGCAAATTTAGTCCCACAGTTGCAAATTTAGTCCTGAAATTTAACGGTGACTTAACGGTCAGTTAGATTTGGGATCAATTACGTAAGAAAAATTAGTTAAAGACTGAAATTGCACCTCTTGAGACTAAAATTGCGACCGTCCCAATCTAACGGGACCAAATTTGCAATTTCCTCCAAATTTATGCCATACAATGAAATTATACAAAATACAACAATCAATCAATAAGCCTTCCTTAAAGTATCATATACTAATTTAACCCACCAAATTCAACTAAAATTATAACCTTCGGAATACAGTAAGCAATAGACGGACAGAAATTTCCATGACAAAAATTGTTCACCTTCAGTCTCTACGCCTACTCGGCGAAAAATGCCTCATAATAAAGCTGTCCGCATACAGAGGATAATTTTTTCTAATCAAGCCTTTTATGCATTTCCAATACGAAAAATCAACCAATTCTCCATCATTCCGAACTATGAATAAGCATCTTGAGCTCTGAAAATTAGGATGGTATCCAATCTGTTGATCATAAAAAATACAAAAAATAAATAAATAAATAAATGAAATTATTAAATACAAACAGGAAAATTTGAGCTCCATGAAGGACAATTTCATGCAAATAAATTGGGATTATCTCAAAGGTGCAGGCTAATTTTTATTGATATTGGTATCCACTATTATAGAAATATTTGAAAATACAACACTATATAACTTGTCCGCTTTAAAATGCCAAGGAAGTCATAGTTTCAACTTTTATCCACAAGTGCCTTTTTATGAGAATACTTTTGAGTCGCACGCCTAAGGATCAATGAATCATACTTTGAAACAAAAAATGTAGTGCACTATAAAAGGCCATACCTTTGCCTACTAAGTTTTTTAAAGTACGACATCTTGTTGTGAAAATATGCATGTTTGTAGAATAAGTATGTCCGTCTAACAATTAGACCCGCCTGCAATAGCCCTAATGCTCCAATCATTTAGACAATAAAATAGATCCTCGTACAAATTGATTTAAGTAAAACAGAAATAATGCATTCGTGCAGATCATAAATGCTTCACAAAAGCATTCGAGCTTAAGCAACAATCAAAAAGGGATCTAAAAGAATAAATAGTTGCAATAACAGAATGGAAAATAAGTAGCCAGCATCTATTGCATCGCAGGATCTCTCCATTTCCAAAATATTCTGCTTTTTTGTTTATCTACATGGTGAGGATAAGAAACCAAGTTTTTTTTTTTTTCTTTTTTTTTTTTANAAATAAAGTGGCTTCCTCAATGTCGGCTATAGCTTTCACACATCATGAAAATGAAAACAAAGTGAAGGACATAAGATTAAACAGAAAAGAAAGCAAACTATCTGTCTCAAATCAGCATTACCAAATTTAAAACAGGATGGGTTATGTTGTTAAGAAGCATGCCAGAATATAATAGCTACATTATGCTATCTGTTCGTGTAAATGTGGATGTAGTATGTCTATTATCCTGTATCATGTTAGACACAACTAGTGTCATCAAACTGAAAAAAAAAAGAGGAAAAAAAGAAAGGCAAGAGAAAAATATTTTGAATTTACTGGAAAACTTACGAGCAAAGTAGTTCAGCCAAGAACAAAAGGTATTTTATATAGTTAGTTATCTTCTTGATACCAAAAGCTGGGAAAGCAACAAAGCAAATTACAAACTATAGAACTACCATACCGTAATATAATCAACTCCACATCCAATCTTCTTTTCACACGCTGGATGATATGCAAGTAGCTTCTCCAGGATGGTCTTCTCATCCTGAAGACTCAATCTATCACCACTTGCGTATCTGCAGAAGACAGTACATAAAATAGGATTACGCAAAATTAGTATCTTTTCACCTAAGAAAATCTGCATTACTCAATATAACCATTCTACACCCAAATCGTGGTTCAGTCTAACACAACAGATAAACTACAAGAGTGATTGCAGAAACCTTGGTTTCTAATAGAAATGATTTTTGCATTAGAAGCTAAAAGTAGCTGAAAGTGATCATGTACTTGTAGAAGGCATGGCCAGATGCAAAAATAAGAAATCTAAAGTACACATCCTCCTATCTTTAGGCTATGGGTATATAAGCGGATAATCCCCTTTCATAAAATTTTGCCTATTTATCGCCTTATAAATGCAAAAATTCGTTCTGCAAGACTGCAAACCAAGTACACTAGTTTTTACCCAAATAACGCAAATTTGAAGAAGGAAACGAGATTAAGGAACTCACTTCCCAGAGTGAAGAACCGTCCTAACAAAGCCAACGAGGGGAACAGTGTCCTGCAAAATCTGGTCGTCCCAGTCCACCCACGTGTCACCATCTCCACCCTTCTTCTCCCCAGCCTCATCAGCCGGATCATCATCGCCGCCGGGGTCCGAGGACGCTGGCCATCTCAACAAATCCGCTCCCCCATTCGAAGTCGGGCCAGCGCCGTCCGGATTTGTCTTTATCCCACTCGTTCGGGCTCGGCACCAAGGGAAATCCACTACAAATGGGCGTAAAATTAGGTTTTTGGATATGGGTTTCCTGCAGAATGAAGGGATATTTGGTGAGCTTATAGCGGAAACCGAAGCCATTTTTCTGTACTAGAGCATCACCAGTGGTAATTGAATATCTTCTTCGCAGCCGAAGAATGAAGATAAACTAGTAAGCAGCAGCAAGATACTTTTTGCTTGTTGGAGTATTTGGATAACGCTAATTGTGCGGGTCAGAAATTCAAACCCGCTACCCATATTTTTTTCTTTAAGAAAAAAAAAAAAGTGGAAAACAAATAGAAAATGCGGTTAATTAGTAATTACTTGTATTCCAATTGGAGAATACCACTTCCCAAAAAAACATGATTGCCTTTTTTACTTCAACACCAATCCTCTCTTAAACATCCACGTTGCAGACTAAAACTATTTCTTACACAAGCATGAAAACCAGCGCACAAAAAGGGGGGCAAAAATAAAAATAAAACCTCCATTGATTTACAGCTAAGTCTCAGCTTGCACAGTCTACTGCCAGTTCACAACCCAACACGTATGTCGATCGATTCTTAGAAAACCTCCGACCTAAAACTACTCGTCGAATCCTGTTAGGATCGATAATTTTCTTTACCTTCTACCCCCTTTTCGTGTGTAATAACTGGTTCGATCCGAGAAAGCTTTAGCAGCATTATTAATGGAGGGCGGTGAGAGAAGCCCGTTGAGAGTGGAGGGCATGAAAATGAGGCCGCAGGCTGATCGGGCCTTCGTCACGGAGCCCGATGTGGCGGTTTCGTCGCCGGTGACCCGCCAGAAAGCCGCCGCCGCTAAACAGATTATTGAGAATCATTACAAAAATTACTTGCAAGGGTTGCAAGATCGAAAAGAAAGGTCATATTTTTGTTGTTTCTTTTTATTTTAATATTCTTACCCCTGATCGATCGACTGTAGTAGTATTCTTGAAATTTCAATAATATAAAGTAAGAAATTTCATGTTTTGAGAATGCACATGTGTAAAAAATTAAGTCTTTTTTCCTTTTGATCTTAAAAAAAGTTCATTTTTTTTGTTGTTGTTTGGTATTTTAGGAGGAGGGCTTTGCAGAGAAGGGCACAAGAGGATAAAGTGTCTAGCGAGGAGGAAGAAAAGATGTTGAGGAACTTGGAGAAAAGAGAAACTGAGTACATGAGATTGCAAAGGCATAAAGTTGGTATTGATGATTTTGAGCAGTTGACCATCATTGGTAAAGGAGCTTTTGGGGAGGTACTTTTATTTATTTGTCTGTTTGCTTATTTGCCTTTCTACTCATTGCATTGGCCCTTTTTCAAATGTTTTGATCGCTTGTTTATGCTTGATCTAAATGATTGAGCATGGATTTTTGTTTCCCTTTTACCTTGCTAAATGTTTAATTTGGTGATGCCAGTTTTGTGTATATTTTTTGAACATGATTTGTGTATTTTCAAAGTGTTAATGGAAGTGTTTGGAAGATAGATGCAAGGGATTACGTAAAATTTCTGAAAGTCCTTCTCTAGTATTTACAAAGTCTAGAAGAAATACTGTATTTTTATTTTATAAGCAGTTCTTCTAGTAATCTTAATGTATATTGATCAGCTCAAAATGCAAAATGCTCAAGGTTTTACCCTTATAGCAATACCAAAGCCAGATTCGTTGTTGACGCATCAGATGGCTTTAAAAAAAACAAATGCCTTTTCAAGTCTTGGCTTCTTCCCATTTTACACTTAATGCACATGCTTGTAGAGGAAAATTACTATTGAAGAAAAATATCTATAGACTCGTAAATAACGTGGTAAGTGATTCAGGTCAGATTATGCCGCGCTAAAAACACAGGAGAAATTTATGCCATGAAAAAGTTGAAAAAGTCTGAGATGCTTAGCCGTGGACAGGTGAGAAAACACATAAGACTCAACACTGAAGAAAAATACTAAAAAATTGAAATAAGTACATTCTTTAATTCATACAAGTTACTAAACATATTACATTATTAATTGAACAAATACCTTATAGGTCGAGCATGTAAGATCGGAAAGGAATTTGCTTGTCGAGGTCGATAGTCGGTGCATAGTGAAGCTCTTTTACTCCTTTCAAGACTCCGACTTCTTATATCTCATCATGGAGTATTTACCTGGCGGTGATATTATGACTCTTTTGATGAGAGAAGACACTCTCTCGGAGGACATTGCCCGTTTTTACATTGCAGAGAGCATTCTTGCTATTCATTCTATTCATCAACATAGTTATGTACACAGGTAAATGAGTAAATAATTATTCAGATTTGAGTAATTCTGGATCTCATTTGTTCTTTAAGTGCCCTTATACTGAACTTGTCCGCCTCTAGGGATATCAAGCCGGATAATCTGATTTTAGACAGGAATGGGCATCTGAAGCTTTCTGATTTTGGCTTGTGTAAGCCGCTGGAAAAATATTCATCCATGTTACTGGAAGATGATGATTTTATTGCTCGGGATTCTGAAAATGAGGGCGAAGGGCATTCGGGCACAGAGACTGCTCCTTGGTTAATGGCTAAAGAGCAGTTACAACAGTGGAAACGCAATCGTCGTGCCTTGGTATTTTTTTTTTTTTATTCAGTAGTTTAAGGTAAGCTGATGGTGACTGTGTAATCATTTCATCTCTTGCAGGCATATTCTACAGTGGGGACACTTGATTATATGGCGCCAGAGGTTTTGTTAAAGAAAGGGTATGGGATGGAGTGTGATTGGTGGTCTTTGGGGGCAATATTGTACGAGATGCTCATAGGTTATCCTCCATTTTGTTCTGATGATCCTAGGATGACATGTCGCAAGGTATATCAAATTTTAACACTTCTGCCAATGTCATCCTTGTTAAGGAAATGGTGTTATTTTCATTTGAGATTTTCGACTAATTCTGAAGCAACAAATTTTTGGCGGGGGTGCAATATTCAAGAAAGGCCAATTTTTTATTTTTTATTATTTTTTATTTTTTTTATTTTTTTTTTGTCCCTGATATATTATGTTTCTATTATGCACCCTCTATTTGTATCAGATAATAAATTGGAGAACATGTTTGAAGTTCCCTGAAGAACCGAAAATATCTTATGAGGCTAAGGATCTGATCCTCCATTTGTTATGTGATGTTGACAAACGATTGGGGACTCGGGGCGTTGACGAAATTAAGGTATGTAATTCTAATATGTGGTTTAAGGGCATAATAGAAGTTTTTTCTTACCACTCGTAGTGATATTTTGGAATTTTCTTTTCTAAATATTTCTGACAATTCATGTTGTGAAGCTTGAGTTTATCGTACTGAAAATTGAAGTTATTTTGAGTTTCAGGGACATCCATGGTTTAGAGGCATCAAATGGGACTTGCTTTATGAAATGGAGGCAGCATACATACCAACTGTGAACGGAGATTTAGACACACAAAATTTTGAAAAGTTTGATGAGGTGAGATATTGTGAACATAATTTATTTTTAAGCCTGATTGAGTATAAATCATGCTTATATATTTCCATGCATGTTTTGTAGTAATTTCTCTTATGCCTTCCTGCCTCTTTTTTCTGTGTTTCACAGGTAGAAAAACCACCATCTGACACGCCAAAGGTAGGACATTGGAGGAAGGTAAAGAAATTTTATTTCGTTAACTCTTTTTTTTTTTTTCTTTTTTTCTTTTTAATTATTTGGGCTTAAACTGTGTTGAGAGTATGTGAATCATAAATTGGATCTTTTGAAGAAGACCCAATAAGTAAGGCATTCTCTATGGGAGATAATGTACTTTGGCTGATAATTTTTGGGTATTCTACAGATATTTAAAGTGAATAAATTCTCTATTGTCAAGTGTGCTAATCCAAGTCTCTTCAATATAAATAACTAGTCTTTATTTTATGGCTCTTTACTTTGTTATCCGAATAGAAATTGAGATAATCACTCATTTTGTTCGCCTACTTTGATGAACAGATGTTAACATCCAAAGATGCCAACTTTATTGGATATACATTCAAAAAATCGGATCTCCTTAAATCAGCTGACACGGCAGGTGGGTTTTGCAGTGCCTGAGGCATAATTCTCTCAAATTTTTACATTGATATGAACTGGGTGCTTGCTATTCAAGAGAGCTTAATTATCAACTTAATCTTTCTATAAGTTGGTTTAGACAAAATTAAGCAAAAAACCTTCATTCAGAAAGCTTAGTGATTTTCAGATTAATATTCCCTCTTTCTTTCTTATGTATATATTTTTTTTCTCTTCTCCTATTTGGCAGTACCTTTATTTTTACAAATAAAATTATAAATCTATTGTCCACTATTTACCTTCATGCAGGCATAGATTTGAGTTCAAATGGACCTTCCAAACCTCCATCAGTGATGTCATTATTTGGCAAGTTATATTTTCTCACTCTCTTATTATCATATGCACACATGCCGGCAGCTTGTGCTGTTTTTGTTAAACGTTGTTTTAACGTTTTCTGATCATAGGCCAAATGGACCTGAGAGATTGTGCAATAGCCGAAGACGATCCCAAGCTGCATGTTTGACTTCACATGGGTTTGCTTCTTGATTCTTCATAGAGGCATCATGTGCATGAAGAGTTAATTGCTGTACAGAAAATACAATCAGTTTTGAAGCTGGACAAAGGTTTTGGTAATATTTTTCGGTCGTGTTTGCTCTGTTGGTCCAGTTATTTAGACAAGAATGTTCATGTGAAGTCATTAAGTATGTTTTATACATCATAAACTCTTTCTGGTTAAGAGAATGTTAATCTTCAAAAAGAAATAAAAATAAATAAATACTTATTCAGTCCTTCAAATCCTCTTTTGTTTATGTTGATGTTACCATCCCAATTACAACATATACTATTACTATAATTTTGTGCAACAATGGTAGTTTTGACCTATTTTGTTTATTGGGGCCCACATTATTATGAAGAAATTAGTTTTCTCAAAATAAAATATCTCAACCAACCCACCTATCATATTTAACTTGTGTGTGTGAATGACTATTTTGCTCGGATGTAATTGTATTTTTACGATTATGTCATCAGAAGTTTTTCTACTATAAACAAAAATAGGAGCTTAAGTTATAATGAAAATCATATCAAGAGAATAGTAAATTCTGAATGCACATCTTAGTAACACTACACAGGTTTTGAATTGTTCCTCTTCCCATAACTTAATTCACACGTAGTTTATACTTCCTCCTATTTTTAATATTTGTCATTCTAACTTAATTGATCATTTGTTAAATAAATGTCGTTTTGACTATTTTGTTCATATTTTTCTTTTTTAACCCCTCCATCAATACTCATTGTCTCTTCATATTCCCAAGAACATCCATCCATAATTGTGTCATTAAATAGGGTTAAACTTGAAAAGAAAAATATTTCTTAATTAGTATGTTGATAGTCAGGATGATAAATATTTAAAATAGGAGGGAGTATTATATTATATCATTTCACCTAATAAATATAAAAATAAATGTACGATAAAGACCGAATTTGACGGTTGAAACTTGAAAGCACATAGAAAAGCTCAAATCTAGGTGCATGGGAGGGGACAAGGAAGAAGATATTTTGCGAGACTGTTAAATGTATTGGGCTTCCGGATATTTTCAGACCCAAATAAATATCTGGCCGCTTTATTAGTTTATGTCTGCCATTTCAAGCTGACACGTGTTAAAGCGTCGACCAGCTGGCATCTCTTTTTGCGCTTTCATTACTCCATAAACCCCAAAATACAAGCTGAAAATGGATTTCCTCACATAAATCCCAACATTTGTCTTTCAAGAATACTTTCACTACTGAAATTTTCCATTACGAAATTTGTGGAGGATGTTATGGAGAGTTCTGTGAATTCTTATGAGGTTGGAGCGAGAAAATGTGATGAGCAAGAAGAGACCTCAGCTTTGGTGATAAATTTATCATTTCTTTTAATCTTTTGCAATTCAAATTTTGATTTTTTTCCTTTTATTTTTTTTGTGACTCTAATTTTTATGATCGGTATATGATTTGAGGGTTTCTGTGAAAATCGTTACGCTATTACAAATCCCATATATCAAAAAACTCAAAAAAAGAGTAACTTTTACTTTAGTTTGTGTGCTAGTCAAAATTAATAGCCTTTTCGTGATGAAAAAAGAAAACATTCTTTCTCCAATTTTATTGCAAATGTGAAATCCTTCTTTTCTTT